AAATTTGTCGTGCAAGCTTCGAATATAATAAAAATATCCGACGTGATAAAACGGCAGACAATACGTTTAAAATTTTTTAATCTTCTATACCATGTGATATAACATAACCCTCGCGAGTTTCATGAATATATGAATATATGAGATAGTAACGTTTGCGTATACTGGTAGGGTTAATAAAAAAAGTCAATGTGTAATAGAGTCGTAGCACGTAAATAGCGTGAGACCACAAAATAAATTGTCACTGTTACGAGAAGTATTAAGTCTTAAAATGTCCCAAGTTAGTTTCCCAGAAGGAGAGAAACTTTAAAGAGGTACTAACGAAGTTCACTAGTGACTCTCGCGGTTAGAGCATGGTGATTAGATTTTATGAATCAAATGGAAGCGGCTACGAATATATCACTAAAGTGACACCGCAAGAGAAAAATGACAAACAAATCAAAACGTTAAACAGATAAACTTTTTCCGAATAATATAATTTCTGCTCTCTCTTATTCTTATAATCAATTTCTATCAAATATTTCAAAATTGAATATGGCCGTTGTGGTGAAAAAAAAAGGATTCAGATAGCTTATATTATTTCACGTTGCTCGACATGTTTGGAATGTTGACTCGCTGACATTTATTGATAGCGCAGCCGTGAGATATTTCGCAAAACCAGCACTGTTCCGTAAAGTCGTGGGAAAAAAATCAGTCGACAAATAATCTCGATACACCGATATGTATGCTCAGCCACGATCGATGTCTCCAAAAAGAGGTACACGTGTGGAACGATTTGTCAGCGAACGTATTTCGGACGGGAAAAACCGGAAGATACGAGAGTTGCGTGCATCCGCATCGGAGACAGCAAGATAAAGTTACAGCGAACGGACGTCGATTTTTATTGAAATTTCATACTTTTAATGGATATTTTAAACGGAAATGATCGCTCGAATCAGCCGTGGTAATCCCCGGAAACGATCATACCGCTAAACTCCCCGTTCGTTCTGCAAAGGCGATAGCTCCGAATCGCGTCGGCGCCCAAGACCGGAAAACTTATTTGCATGCCGAGCAACGTAACCGCAGCTAGCAAACGGAATATACTCGCCATTCATATGCATATATGGGGGGACCAGCTACCTTATCGCGCTTTGCCAATTAACCGCCGCTCACATCACCCCCACCGCCTCTTAACCGGTGATCTCGCCGGTTACTCTCTTTACCCCTCTTCTCTCGTCGCTTCGGCAAACGGCGAAAATTCGTCGGTAGTTTCGCGAAATCGACACCGGAGCTATCTCAGCTCTTAGACATTGCATCCCCTGAATATGTATGAGATCACGAAAAGAGAAAATTTCAAAGTACGAGAGATACATTCGCAATTATTATCTATGCTATTTAACGTATTAGTTACTTTCGGGAACTTGAGATTTAAGTAGTAATTCTTAGAAAGTACCCGACTTTAGCGCGATAATTTATAAATCGCGCTACCATCGTATTTTTCGCATTTTCTGTGCATCTCATTTTCATTACCGCCTTCCTCTATCTATTTTAACGTTTGCTTGTTTTCAATCAATTATTTTTCAAGAGATATTTAACTGTTAAATGTCGAGCTGTCAATACCGAACTTACACAATTCGTATTTACGCACACGAGGTACACAATCAACGATCAATTATCATCGCGGAAACACAATAATTGCGAGATAAAATCGACGTAATGTCTTTAAAATTTAATAGATAACTAAATTAATTTGAAATTTGATAGAGACAATTTATATTTATGTACTGTGTAAATATTTCTCTGGGAAAATTTTATTTTATATTATATTAATTAAATATTAATTGTCAAATAAGACAATTTTAAAGCCTCCGCAAAAATTTCTGTTTTTATAAGTACAGAAGTTTTGGTACTACAAGCTGTGAAATTCATGTAGGATATATCTCGCCTTTTAGGCACGCCCTTTGCTGAATATGTATGAGGAATTAACGGAAACGTACTTTAATAGCACGGGAATACCTTCATAATTATTATTGTACTACGTTTTAACTGAATAGTAATGTGCACTACCGTAAATCATGTATTATTCCTGTAGCCTACACGCTCAGAATTGAATTAAAATCGATTGTTTATAATTTGCAATCATAAGATAATGGTTGTATTAGATTTGCAATGATAATGTAGACCATGAATTTGTAATCACATAATGTTCTATATACGCTAGATAAATTTGTCTCATGTGTGTATTCTGACAGATGCTTTATTCTATGGTAAATGAATTAAATCGCGAATAAATTAAGAGTCAAGTTGCTAATAAGCTATTTCACATAAATAGCCAATTTTTATAATTCTACTAACTAGAGGCAATAAATCATTTGCGGCTAAAACGAATAAGTATGCTGATTTCCACGACGTTCTTTTATCGACAAATGCAAACACGATTCTGGCCGTAGGCCAGATCCACGAAGGCACTTTTATGAATTACTAAAAATTTCCTACGTATTGTTAATGGCCGTCCCGAAAAAACGATTCGTGCCAAATGACAATTACATCGTCGTACCGAAATTCTACACAGTATAACGTAGGATATGATAGAAGTAAATCACTAGACGCAAACGGAACAACGTCGATTAAAGGATTAATTATACGCAGAGCTTGAAATTACACGTGGAGTTATACGTACTTTGTTGAAATATATATTTTATTGGATATTCTCGCGCACACTACTCTTCTGACATAATATAGTTCGAGTGTCTCGAGGTTTTGCGTACATGGTAGCCCACATGAAACAAAGGACTTTACCGGCGTTTGGTCACACTATCCTGCATGGTCGATCCAATGGACAAAAGGACTCTGCATCTCTCTCTATCTCTCTCTATCTCCCCTCTCTCTCCCCCCAAATATGTATAATATATAATGTGTGTATATATACATATATGCAGCAAGTCTCCATTGTATCTGTTTAGCCAACCAATGTACACATATTGCAGACGGCTTAGCAGTTCTCGAACAGTCTACTATCCCTCTTTCAACTTGAAATTATTCCCACTTTTGGCAAGTACTCTTCTCTCGGGAATAAAACTTTTTGGATAAACAAAGCGCTAACTACTTGACGTTAATTCACAGTGTACCGAGCGCACAAAACGAATGTATGAAACGCGGTCTGTGTTTATGCTCCGATAATAAAATTATTTGATTCTCCATAAACCTAAACATGCATTCGGACGCTGTCGAACAGAATGGCACGCGTTCTTGATATTTAAATCAAGTCGGATATTCGCACGCTCTCTGCCAACGCTTGGATATTCCCCAAAATGATCGAACTATTACTCGAGCAGAGGAGAGGAGAGGAGAGGAGAGGAGAGGAGAGAGGGAGGAAGCCGACGCGCTATGTACGCGAAATGCTCGTTTGGTTATCTAATTCTGCTGGAAGTTAGGCGCCTATCGTTCCGCATGCAAAGTGCATTCGAGAGGGTACGGTGCGGTTAGTTACAAACGGACGGCAGATCCATCGTTGATTCGAGGTAGATTTGTTGGGGTAACAATGCCCGTACATATCCGCGCAAGCAGCGCGCGCCTCTTCGTTGTCAGTGTATGTGTGTATATAGAGCACCGGAAATTCCTTTACGTTTAAACTATGCCGCTGTCTGCTGACTTACGATTAGAGTAAATTCCGGAAATGTAAAGAATATTTGCCCTCTCGACACGACGAATCTGTCAATTTTACGTCTTAAGTTAATTAGATTAATAATTATTAATCCCGCAGCGATTGTTATAACAAGGAGAAAGATGAAGAAATTTTCATTTTTCGGAAGGATACATGTTTCCCGTTCGATTGAATTAACGAAGTACAGTCATTTAACGAAATTTAATGCAATTTAACGCATTTTAAATGCGTACCAAAATTAGATTATATAAAATAGAGATTATAGGCTCATCCAATTATCATTGAATATATAAATTATCTAGAAAAAATATGTAAATACACGATTTCACAAAAATTGCAACGCGCAAAAGTCTCAGAAAAAATAGAGAGAACTAATTTATTATATAATAAATGCAAGTTAGAACAACAAAGCATCTGTCAGAATGCGTAAGCCACATGCATTAAAAAAAAAGTATAATAATGCCCAAAGTTACAAAGCATACAGAAATTCACATATGAAAAACGCGTAAAGAAACTATATAGTACAATATTCGATATGTTTCCGTTATAATTCTAATAATATGTATGTACTTACATTTCCAATACACTGGAAAAATTAATTTTAAAACATTTATTTTAATTTAAAACATATTTCTAAAATATAAAACTTTATCATTTCATATATAAAATTAAATAATGAATTTAACATAAACATAAAAAATTAAATGCAATTTATAATACTTTATTCTCGGCAAATTAAATTAATATGACGAAAAATGTGCTTATATGTATTTAGTCAATTTAAGATAGAGAAAATGAAGAAAGAGATTCTGCTTTAATCTTTTTCTCATCATTAATGTTCAGTTTTGATCTTTATTAATCACCCAAAATTTTACATTGTTGACAAATAATCTTCTCTACAAATAATAAATTTTTTATTTTATAATTTAGAATATTAAAATATTAATATCAAAACTTTTATATATATTTTATTTAAATTCAATATCTGTTTTTACCACAATAATTTGCTGTGCCATTTTAATATTGGAATTGCAAATACGCTGTCTCAGATTATATAATCAGAAGAATATATCTCTAGGTATATATA